ACCTGTTCGGCACCTTCGGCAGCCTAAACCCGTTTGATATGCAAATGGAAGAGTTAGCTGATTTTCGCAACCAAGCTCGAGCTGAAACTATGGGAAAGACAGAGAAGCTGGTGTATGTTTGAAATGATGTATACACAAAGGTGCACTCTTTTCAATGTGGCCCCTACCACTTGAGTATTGTTATGCCTCTCCAGGCGCTGCTTGTGATAGATTTTTTTTGAAGTTCAGTTTTGTTTAGCTTCGGCTCTTTCATGTTTGAAGCTTTCCTTTTTCTGCTATTTTTATAAATGCTTTGACTTTTTTCAACATGTATGAAGCTTGCCTTTCAGTTTTCAGCTCGGGATGCTACTTTGTCCTAACTTTTGCCTAGGTTACTTGAGATGTGTTCCCTAGCGAACATTTTCTTTTGATCCTTACTTTTGCCTAGGCTACCCTTTTTGTTTGTGAGTCTCCTAGCGGACCTTGTCCTAATTTTTGCGCAGCCCCCTTAGTAGGTTTCCTGCCAGGCTTTTGTCTTTGCAGCATTTGTGATCATCTTTCATTCATTCATTAAAGGGGGATGCCCCTTGCACTGATTTCATTTGGACTTTTATCCACAAGTCATGCCCAATTTGATTGATCTTTATGTGTTTTTTTAATACGCCTTTGCATGATGCGAAAATTTAAGAAGCTAAACAATCGATTTGTACTGGGAGGATCACATCGACCACGTGATAGGGCACATGACACACCCTCTCAGCCATCGAGACGGCCAAGACAAAAGGTGTTTTCCAAAGTACAGTAGTCTCGGGCATGTTGGCCATCGAGACGGCCGGGATGCAAGGACTGGTGGCCGAGATGGCCGAACCTACAAGGCCCCTTGCGCCCAAAACGTCGAAGTCCCGGCCATATTAGTAAACTAACTAGTCAGCCAAATAACGTCTCGGCCCGGTCAGAGGTCAAGATCCAAAGATAGCTTTGTACAAGATGCCCATACTTAGGCGGCCCTTTACCTCTCAGCTCGGCCAATGGCCGAGACAACTAAATACTGCGGTTAGAACAACGATCACGATTAACAAGGACAAACACACGATTAAGGCATAATCGGTCATTTAGCACCGTAATACCTAATTTGGCAAATGTCAGAAGAGGCCCACCACGCTCAGGGCCCATTACAACCAGTATAAATAAGTTACGTAAAATGAGGTATGTCATGGTTCATTAATTACTATCGATATTTGTGCTTGTCCTGACTTGAGCGTCGGAGTGCCTTTTGCAAGTACCTTCCCCCTCACCAGAATATTCGCTTGGAGCTCTCGTTCGGCCTTCAGAGTACGAAAAGATTACTAGTGTACCCTTCAGACAGGTACATTTTGGCACCCACCATGGGGCCGAACCGAAAGCTCTAAGGTACAAGCTAGAACTATGGTGAATATTAGGAAGACGAATATGGACAACAACCGATCCAAAGAAGACCATGTGGAAGTTGTTGATGAAACGAATCTGTCAAAGACCATTCGTCAACTAAAGGAGGAGATGGCCAACATGAGGCAACAAAGGGAGAAAGATGTTAGGGAACTTTCGGCCCTGAAAGCAGAAAATGAAGCACTAAAAAATAAAGACTCTTCATGGAAGCCCACTCAGCCAACCCCCACTCAAACACAAGGGTCTTTCCAGTCCCATGAAATCCACACTTCGATCCCTCATGCTTCGGTTGTCGCACTAGAAAAGTCTCAAATACCAACGGTCGGCCGATCCATAAACCTCTTGGCACCAATTGGTTCACACCGACACCCTTTCACCCCGTCTATCATGCAATCATCTTTATTGGATAATAGGAAGTCCCTGCCGATAGACAAGTATGATGGCATGACAGACCCTGACGAGCACATTGATGTTTTCCTTACCCAGGTAACGTTGAGCACCACGAATGATGCTGCTTTGTGTCAGATCTTTCTGACGTCTCTTAAAGGTAGGGCCTTAAGTTGGTTCACTCGGCTTCCTCCCAACTCAATCAATTCCTTCAACACTTTGTCTTCTCAGTTTACCATCCAATTTGCCACCAGTCAGCCACACCAGCTGACTTCCCTGTTGCTAGTCAGCATTCAACAAGAAAAGAAGGAGTCCTTCCGGACCTTCATGGATCGGTTCAACAAGGCAGCACTAGAAGTTAAAGATCTTAACCCAGTGGTGGCACTTCACCATCTCACTATGGCTTTAAAACCAGGGCCTTTCGTTGACATCATTTGCAAGAAGCCCCCTATAGACATGGATGATCTACGTAGGCGGGCTGATAAGTATATGCAAATGGAAGAGTTAGCTGATTTTCGCAACCAAGCTCGAGCTGAAACTATGGGAAAGACGGAGAGGCTGGTGTATGTTTGAAATGATGTATACACAAAGGTGCACTCTTTTCCTTGATCGGTTTTTTCTCCCCTTATAAACATGTGAAAAAGGGTTTTGGCTGACAAGGTTTTTAACGAGAGACAGTGTTTTTTTTTGTTTTTTTATTTTTTATTTTTATTTTTTTGCCTAGAACGCCCTTTGCGGGTTTTCATTCTAGCAGCTTCTTAACAAGCAATGCTTCTCTCTTGTTGAAATCACCTTTCGAGAAAGCTCTAATCGTTTTGACTCAGTGTTTGAGAGATTCGTCATCCTCAGGTTCTTACAACTCGTTAGGAGTGTGGGTTCGTCCATCCCTATTTCGCCTAGATTTCACGATTGCACGACACGGCTTTGTCCTCTTAGGGCATCTTCATGATTTACCCTAAACTCTTTATGCACGGTTTGCTTCCATTCGGCCAAGGACGTGCCTTCGAATTTCTCTCATAAGGCTTCCCTCCTGAGTGACCCACTCGGCCAAGGACGTGCCTCCAAATTTCTCTCACAAGGCTTCCCTCCCGAGTACTCACTCGGCCAAGGACGTGCCTTCAGATTTCTCTCAAAAGGCTTCCCTCCTGAGTACTCACTCGGCCAAGGATGTGCCTTCGGATTATTCTCAAAAGGCTTCCCGACCGACTAACCCACTCATCCAAGGATGTGCCAAGGATGTACCTTTGGCTTTCTTGAAAACGTTTCCATCGGCAGGGACTTCCTATTATCCAATAAAGATGATTGCATGATAGACGGGGTGAAAGGGTGTCGGTGTGAACCAATTGGTGCCAAGAGGTTTATGGATCGGCCGACCGTTGGTATTTGAGACTTTTCTAGTGCGACAACCGAAGCATGAGGGATCGAAGTGTGGATTTCATGGGACTGGAAAGACCCTTGTGTTTGAGTGGGGGTTGGCTGAGTGGGCTTCCATGAAGAGTCTTTATTTTTTAGTGCTTCATTTTCTGCTTTCAGGGCCGAAAGTTCCCTAACATCTTTCTCCCTTTGTTGCCTCATGTTGGCCATCTCCTCCTTTAGTTGACGAATGGTCTTTGACAGATTCGTTTCATCAACAACTTCCACATGGTCTTCTTTGGATCGGTTGTTGTCCATATTCGTCTTCCTAATATTCACCATAGTTCTAGCTTGTACCTTAGAGCTTTCGGTTCGGCCCCATGGTGGGTGCCAAAATGTACCTGTCTGAAGGGTACACTAGTAATCTTTTCGTACTCTGAAGGCCGAACGAGAGCTCCAAGCGAATATTCTGGTGAGGGGGAAGGTACTTGCAAAAGGCACTCCGACGCTCAAGTCAGGACAAGCACAAATATCGATAGTAATTAATGAACCATGACATACCTCATTTTACGTAACTTATTTATACTGGTTGTAATGGGCCCTGAGCGTGGTGGGCCTCTTCTGACATTTGCCAAATTAGGTATTACGGTGCTAAATGACCGATTATGCCTTAATCGTGTGTTTGTCCTTGTTAATCGTGATCGTTGTTCTAACCGCAGTATTTAGTTGTCTCGGCCATTGGCCGAGCTGAGAGGTAAAGGGCCGCCTAAGTATGGGCATCTTGTACAAAGCTATCTTTGGATCTTGACCTCTGACCGGGCCGAGACGTTATTTGGCTGACTAGTTAGTTTACTAATATGGCCGGGACTTCGACGTTTTGGGCGCAAGGGGCCTTGTACGTGCCTTCGAATTTCTCTCATAAGGCTTCCCTCCTGAGTGACCCACTCGGCCAAGGACGTGCCTCCAAATTTCTCTCACAAGGCTTCCCTCCCGAGTACTCACTCGGCCAAGGACGTGCCTTCAGATTTCTCTCAAAAGGCTTCCCTCCTGAGTACTCACTCGGCCAAGGATGTGCCTTCGGATTATTCTCAAAAGGCTTCCCGACCGACTAACCCACTCATCCAAGGATGTGCCAAGGATGTACCTTTGGCTTTCTTGAAAACGTTTCCCTCCCGAGTCATCACTCGGCCAAGGATGTACCTTCGCCTTTCCTGAAAAGGTTTCCCTCCCGAGTCGTCACTCGACCAAGGATGTACCTTCGGTTTTCCTGATAAGGTTTCCCTTTCGAGTCGTCACTCGGCTAAGGATGTACCTTCGACTTTCCTGAAAAGGTTTCCCTCTTGAGTCGTCACTCGGCCAACGATGTACCTTTGGTTTTCCTGAAAAGGTTTCCCTCCTGATTCGTCACTTGGCCAAGGATGTACCTTCGATTTTCCTGATAAAGTTTCCCTCCCGAGTCGTCACTCGGACAAGGAAGTACCTTCGGCTCCAGCCAATCTACCTCTGGTCGTTGGTTCAAAGTACCTAGAGCTTGAGCCATCGCTTGTAGAGCATCAACGATTGCACGATCATTCCTACCTCTTGCCATTGCTCTTCTGATCCAAATAAGAGTTAACAATTATACTATAATTAAATATATATGCCCTCCGGACGAAATTGGGTGTCTACAATGATAAGGTATAATTTATGCCTTTGTCAAGTTCTAAATTATATTTTAATTCATTTCATTTGCATATATTAAATCAGTTATGAAAGTTTTCTTGTGTATAACTAGCTTTAACTTATGTTAATTGTTGGAGATTGATTGGGGATTAACTCTGTAAGTTTTCTAAGTGAAAAAATATATTTATATGCAGGAAAGACTTGATGATGAAGATCAACCTTATGATGATGAAGAGACTGAATGATGTTACTTACATGGATGGATGACTAGCTATGCATAATATTCCTAGATGACACTTTATTTTGAAATTTAGAAATTTTATGTAAACTTTGACATCTTTGGATGATTTTATTTGGAGTTTTATGCTTTTGAATTGTCATATACTTGGAACTAATTAATGCAAGTGATATATATATATATATATTACATTCATAATCATTTAAAAATAGCATATGGTGAAGATTATTACTTAAATAATAGTGTGTTATTACCAATATTATAAGTCAATATAAAAATAACCATTACACGTTTATTTATACAACATTTACAAAATTGTAACTTAAATTTAGTCTAAATTGTTGTCTATATTATCTCATAGACAACCTTTAAAAAAGATTCCCTAAAGTCACTAGCAACGGTCATAAAAGTATTGCCTATAAAAAATGACTACATTTCTAAAACCGTTCTTTAAAAATTTATAGTGTTGCCTTAAATAAGTAAAAAAACCTTGCCAATGAAGATCATGAAAACCGTTCCAGGAAGTTTAGGTAACAGTTTTTTGACATCGTGGGCATAGGCCAAAAAATCGTTGCATATTGGAATAGGCAACGGTTGATAAATTCACGCTTGAGAAACCGTTGCCAAACCGTTCCCTAAACTTTTAGGAATGATTTTTTGGTTTTCAACAACGATTTTTTATTGTTGTCATAGACAACAAATGTTGTAGTAAAGACTTTTAAGAACATTTTTACATATTAACGAAGACATTTTAAAAATATTATCAAAGTGGTATATTTTGTAACATTTTAATAATGTCATTAAATTTTAGTAAACTTTATAAAATGAAAATAATTCGTTTTAATAAAGATGTTATTGTCATCTATATATTTTATGACTTTAGTTTACGAGCCCTTTAAGTTTGAAAATATTTTAATAATATTGTTAAATTTTTGTAAACTTTATAAAATGGTAATAGATAGTATTAATATAAATGGTATATATTGCTATCTATATATTTTATCACTCTAGTTTACAATTACTTTAAAATTGAAAACATTTGAAGTTACCTACCACCAAATCTATATCTATATCAAATGTCAAAGTTGATTTATCTTAAATTTCACTATATTAATGTGTCATTCTTTTACTCGATGTAAAATTTTAATTTTGAAAAAAAATAAATACTAAAGAAGCATATTTCTTATGTGTCATTCCTCAATGTGGGACTTTAATTTTGTGAAATAATTAGAAAGAATAATACTGAGATAATTAAAAAAATATTATTCTATCCATAATAACATTTTCTTAAAAAAAATATTACAATAATCTATTAACTTAATCTATAATAACATTTTAATAAATTAAATGGACAAATGTTAATAAAGACTAAAAACACGTCTTGTTGTAGTGTATTCTCATAAACTAAAGTTTTTCACCATCCAAATCGATAATAACATTGAAATTCTTAAAAATAAATAAACGATATTGAATAATTGAAGTAAATTATATAGACAAATGCTACCTATTCAACTAACGAGGGATTAACTTGTATATGTAAAGTATTCACCAAAAATTAATAATAATTGCATATGTGTAAAGAGGACAGATTTTCGGTAGATTATTCTCAGATTGGTGCGTAAATCCAGTTGGATGTTTGAAAAAATGACAACTGATCATGGAGAGCAAATCCTAAGGACTATTTTTAGCTATTATGATAATACATTGCTACATGCAACATGGTTTGCTGGAATGAAAAAAAAAATTTGGTAGCTGCATGGACTTTGGTTTTGAAAACTACATTGGTTTTAGCTATTATATATGGTGCAGTAGATTCTGATTTGTTGCTTGGTGTACGACACAATTCGGTCATGTTATTGGGGGAAATACATTGGTTACACAAGAGGTTGTCATCGTTTTGGAGTCTAAATCAAAGATGGTAAATATTACATTTGCATGGTCTCATTTCCACCCTTGCAATGGGTTGTCTATGTTTCTAAGGCAGTTTTTTTTTCATCCTTCTGCATTCTTTTTTCTTTGGGAGGATGGACTACTTTATGTTCCCTATTTTAACTTTCTTACCATATATTTTTACACATTTTGTGTCTTTTTAATGAAATCTTTTGATTATTGAAAAAAAGAAAAAGAAAAAAAAACTTGCATATGTACGTGGCTAACAATAATAATATACAGTAATAAAATATCAAATAATTTGAAATTAAATTTTATAAATATGATTTATATATGAAATGAACTATTAATTCAACCAGACTACTCTACATATAGATTTACTGACCATAACAAGCATCGATCGATCCATACATAGATATGTCTAAGATACATATATGATCTCTATATATGGAAAAGTAATAAAATAAGAGACGTGAACTAAAAAAAAAGTGTATATATTAATAATATACTTAATAAAAAATCACCTTTTAATTTTTTAATTTTTTATCGGTTTTATTCTTTAATTTGTGTTCTTAATTAATAGTTAATACACTGAAGAATTTTTTTTTTCATATACCTATTACTTAAAGGAAAAAAAAAATATATCAATTTATGTATCATTTTAAAGTTTCAAGATAGTATTCCTTCTTGTTCGTTTTAATTATTATAAACAAGTTATAATGTAAAATAAATTATAAAATTACAAATGATTTTAATGAGGTAGGAAATTTGACATTTTCTCACCTTTATGCTATAACCCTCAACAATAGAAGAAAAAAAATGATAGAAACAAAATTTAATTAAGAATATGTTGACTGTTTCCTTTATTTGGTCCATAAGTCCATTACACATTAATACCTAGCTAGCGTTAAACCAGTCAATTACACTACACATGCATGTTGAATGTTCAACAAGTTTGGAACTTGATTTGACCCAAAAAATAAAAAAATAAAAAAAGTTTTCAACTTGATTAGTTTAATGTTAGTAATAAACATGAAGCAGCTATCTTTAAGAGCACGGCAAGTAAAATACTATGCACATCACTTCATTAAATATCCTCTAAAGGGAGCACGTGGAAGCAAGCTGCCAGACAAGTTACAAGAGTCAAGAGTGGTAATGTCAGACACAGCGAGCACACCAAAATTTAGACCATTTTTCTTTTGAGAAGAACATGTTTCAATGTCCATCTAACACTCTCCAATAACATATGAACTTGTTATATCATATAATGATATTTATTTTATAATGTTATATTTAAAATTTTAGGGGCTTATTAGTGAGTTTATTTTGTTTTCTTTTTTAAATTGGGAAAATTGTTAGTTTAAAGTACAATCTTAGATGATGGAGACTTGAGGTCCACCAAATTGACTAACTCAATATTATATTTATTTCAAAATCATGAATGGAGGAATTTATTTATTTGAAGAATTTAAAATTTGTTAAGGTAAAATATTTTGTTTGAATAAATAATTTATAAAAAAAATTAAAATTTAAGTATTTGTGAAAATTTTTAAAATATAGTAGAATTTTAAATTCTTTTAAAAAAGTAAGAATTTGAAATTTCTCATATTTTTTTCTTATTTCACTTATATATTTTACTTTATCTCTTATCTCTTCATATTTTTAGTTATTAAATATTTGAAAATATTTTTAAAATTATTAAATATTATTTAATATTAATTTTTAAAATTGTTAAATATTTAAAAATTAGGTAATATTTATTTTTATAAAATTTAATTTAAAAATCTGAACATATAAATATATTTTTAAAATCAATTTTACCAAGGTTAAATCAAATTAACATATTCAACCTAATAATTTAAAAGTTAAGAAATTTGAATTGACTTATCCAAACAAAATATTTTAAGAATAATAGAAGTTAAAATCAAAATATTTCAAATATTAATAATTTAAAATTTTTTAAATTTGTAAAATTTCTCATCCAAACATAACATAAATGTGGTTAGCAAACTATTTTGGACAAATTTTTTGATGGATACTAAATAGTAAACCAAACAGTGATTTATCTTTGAATAATTTTACATAGTACTTTGCATCTAGTGGCCAACTCTTGGATGATAACTTAGCTTCCATTCACTTCCCTTTAACAAACACTTCATTTCTTGTTTGAATATGGACGTACCTTGTTTAGGAAAACTTCAATATCATTCAAAGTTTAAAAATTATGGAGACCTACAACGCAATGTGAGGGTAATGAATATGAATCCAACGACCATTTACATGGCATTTCAAACCTTGTTACTAGTTTTTAAAGGTAAATGTGCTTAAAGCAGCGCAAAAGTTTTTAGAAGAAATGAAAATGATGATTATGTTGCAAAAATTGTGCTCTATGTGAATATTAATGGATCTAAATACTATCAAACAACCTGCAACTAGTATGTCTTTTGCATGTTAAGGAGAAATTACTAAGTGAAATTTCATTGAGTTGAGATTTTTTTTTTTTTTTTGATGACCAAAAACTTAGTAGCCTTGGAAGATATTGGTGGTCAACTTTTAATTTAGTTGAAAAAGGGAGGTAAGAAGTATATGTTAGGAGTCAATTTCCCAAACTCAAACTTAAGGACAAGTCCATATTTCAAGAGGGGCAGTGTTAGGACCCAAATGTAAAGTGGGATTCAAGTGGGTTGTTATCACAATATGTAGCTACTCATGCCTAATGTGTGGCAGGCTTATGTTAGATGAATGAGAGAGAAGGATAAATCGTGTAGGAGAATTTTGTTATACGAGGGTTGAGTAGAGAAAAATATAGTGGGGGAAATCATTAACGAAGTTATGGGCAGAGAGCATTTGTTCTCGGAAGAAAAACTTAGCTCTATGCAATAGGAATATATTTTTCCTCCACAATCTTTTCATTACAGAAATAATACACGTGTTATCTCCATCTTTGAGTTGTATTTTCCCTTTTCATTGCTATTGCTATTTCTAGTTTCTATATTACATAAACACTTTTCTTTTTTAAAATAAGAGATTAAAAAGAATTTTGTTTTGGGGAAATATTTGATGATGTTACGTGGAAAAAAAGAGTCGAATCTCGTTATTAAGATATTTTTATCAAAACAGACCCAACATATTTTAAGGACTAAAATGAGTTTTGAAGTTAAGTCTTTTTAAAGATGAGAAAGTAGTAAGAAAATCAACCGTCACCCATAAAAAAAGAAACCTTCAATAAAAAAAATTACAATACTAGGATCAAGTCCCAGTACTTACAATACTAAACTTAGACAATGATCAACAAACTAAAAGTAGTATTAATATAACTGATTCATTAAGTTCTATATAAGTAAAAAAAAAAATATTTTGGAGACCTAAAACTATGACTTGACCAGCCTTATGCTTAGGCTGGGCTTGATTTTTACTTGTGACAAGCATAAGATTGAAATAATATAAACTCATTCTCCTTTGTTTACTTTCCAAATAATAAAACAGATTTTATTATCTTCCATTAATATTCCAAACTCCCAAATTTATTTTGTTTACAGTCGCTGTCGCTGCATTAAATTTTGAATCTAATAATTTCATACAAACTATTCATTTCTCTTGTTAGCAACCTATAACAAAAATATTCGTACTCACGGATATCTGATGATACGGATAATAAAAGAATAGTCTAAATGAATATTTATGCATAACATGTATAGATATTTTTTTATTCGTTTATAAGTGGGACAAGGTGGATATGGTAGTATCCATATATGTGAATACCCAATAATAATATTACTTAAATATTCATATTTTATCTTATTTTTAATATTTCAAAAAAATATCATATTTCAATACACTTAACATCAAATATAAGCTTAAAATTATTTAAATACTTATTTTAATTTTCAAAATAATTTACAAACATCCATAAATATCTTTAGATACTCACAAGTATTTATAAATTCACAAATACCTACTAAACAGATACCCACATAAGTATGAGACAAATACAAAATAGATTTTTATCTGACAGAGCATGTATAAATATCCTACTACCCGTCCTCATAAAACCCCGTTACCATCCCTACTACACCAACCATAGGAAGTCATCAAATTCCCAATATTAGACTATTTTATGGTGTGTTTCTAAACCCATTTAATTGTCATTGGAAGGAGATTTTACACTTTCTGATGCATAAGCATAAGAACAAAGTGTTAGATTCGGGTTCAATGTAAGTTTAGTGAAAGAGAATTAATATCCTCACATATTTAGGACTTATTTAGATAAACTTCTTCAAAAGCATTATTAGGAGAAAAAAATAAAATAAAATAAAGTTTCTTCATAAATTAAAACTAACTTATACGTAAATTAAAAATAAAATTTTGAAAAAACTAATAAGAGGAAACTTCTATAAATTAGCTTATTGCATAAACTAATTTTAAGTCATGAAAGAAATTATTTCATTTTTTTTCTTCTAGTTTTCCTCTACTACAAGTGATTCTAGAGAAGGTTACTTAAACCAACGCTTATTCTATTTCATTTGATTTTGCTCTACTCCGTTCAACATTGGATATCCAAAAGAAGCCCTAGTTGACAACCAGGGTCTGCTGAAAATTTCAAAGTTCATAGCATATTTTAACTGCCATGATCAAACAGTCATTTCCTGCTTCGCTGTTTCATGCAAGAATCTGATTATGCTTTACAACAGGGAAAGGGTGCACAGATAAGCAAAGAAATGGATTTGTATTCTATTCTGTACATGCTCCACATCCATGCAAGGAGAAAATTTCGCTTCAAGTTGACTGCAACAATTCTCTAATATCATACCCTTGAAGCTATATATACAAACAGGATAAGAATTCTTAGTACTGAATAAAAAAGGTGATTGCAAACCCAGGATTAGGTGCCAGTAAACCATACTAAACAGACACATGCAAAGAGTTTTAGTTAATACCTGCAGAAAAGTAAGAAGCAATATAACTCCTGAATTCCAAAAGGAATGGATAGTGATGGGAGTGAGAAGATTGCGAGTTTGAGCATATGAAAACCCCAAAGCAGCCCCTACATATGCCACAAATTTCTGTCATTTTCTTCAAAGTAGGTGGAGGAACAATTGCATCTTTCAAGAGAAAATAGAGCCCTCCTTGGTTTGAGAAAACATTTTCTATTTTTATTTTTCTTCAAATAATTACAAATACATCACATTTTTTCACTTTGATTTGTATTTTCAAACATTTGTATAGGGAATAATAAAACAAAATTATAAAAAAATGAACTTTTGCAATTTTTTGCAAAAATAAAAACTGAAAACAGAAATATTTTCTCAAACCAAACAGACCCTATTTTTTTTTCTTTCATATTTTACCCTTGTTTAAATTAAATAATTGTAAATTCAGTGTCTACTGCGACCCAAACATTATGATAGAACATTTCTTGTCATTTCTGAAGATCATGTTATCATATATTTACATAATACCTAGAACAAACAACTGTGGAAATTCTCCAGGAGTGAGATGGGCAAGGGCAAACACAGCAGCACTAAGGACGACAGCAACTGGTGTAGGAACCCTGAGTGAGAGTTATCATGCATGAGAAAATTTGTACCAGTAACAATCGATTCACAAAAGATACTTGAAAAAACGAGTTTAGACATCCATAATGCATATAGCATCTCAGATAAGCTAAATCTACATATTTTGCACACAACTATATCCACTGATAAGATTATTTTTCACAAAGAAAGCATAAGAAAAGTTCAGGTTTTTATCTAGCCTGAAATTGCTAACTCAGACCAACACACTCTGGTTTATATGTTAAAAATAAAATAAAAACAAAAATAATCATTTTTCCTTAAGATCATAAATTTTTCCACAATTGAAGATCCAATGAAGAATATAAAAGCACATTTCAAATATACATTAAAATTTAAAATAATTGAATATATGGTTTTATTTGGGGGCTTTGACTTTTTCAGGCCATCAAGGTAAGAACTGGTAAGATCTACAGATTAAAACTGAATCAAATTCTAGTACGCAGTGAAATGATGAAACTATCAGTCAGTTCCAAAAAAAATTCTTCTGACATGTCATATTGCTACTTCTCTCTTTTCAATCATCCCTTTCATTGTCTACCTCTGGAGTCTGGACCTAAATCAGACAAATCTTTATTTTACAATAATAACATAAGTATAGCACTATAGCAATCTCGTTTTAGAACCCTCTGTATGCTTTTGTGTAAACAGTATTTTGAAAAGCTCAAGTTTGTCTAAACAACTAAACAAGTAGTGCATTAGTTGGTGTTTTATGGACTACATGTAGGTCGATTGAACCTTTAAAATATCTAAACCAGCCCTTCCCAGTCGCCACCGTATATGCCATATAAAATCTCTTGAAGATAAAAGTCAATATATTAAAAAGCTCACCAAGTTGATTGAAGAACTACCACCTAAATTATGAGTCCATATATGCCAATACTGTCAGAAACTTAACTGGAAGGAAAAATAGAAACTACCTAGCACAATGCAAACTTCACTATGCATCCTAATCAACTTCCCCTTCATTCAAGGATAAGCTAACTACAGCTGAAGCAGCATTTGTAGAAACCTTCTCTGTTCAATTATCAAGCCATTGAATATCTAGTTCAAAAACAAAAGTCTCACTTTCAAGGCAAGCTGCAGTTTCTTTAACAAACATATTTTATTATGATAAATGGAAATAAATGAACGTTAAAAAAAAAAAGTTTGATCAGCAAAACACAGGGAATTAAATGGAAAGGAGAAGTAATGAAAGCAACCAATACCACTTAGTCAGGGAAGTCATAAAAAATCCTCGAAATATAGTCTCCTCAAGGAGTGGAGCAAGAACCCCTGTGATGCCCACCAAGCAGGCAGTGCTACAATGAAAATAAACACAATCAGTCCCATACTTGAGAATCTGGGATATCTGACATAGGTAGGAACTTTTGACAATTTTTTTTCATTGATAGAAGAACTGTGATTTAAAATTGAAGTCCACAACTGCAATTTTCACCACAATGTTGTGGTTTAAGATACCCTGCAACTGCAATTTGGCTGCATAAGCCATATTTTACTGCAATTTCTTTAATCAAAGTATAACTGAAGCCGCAACTCCAATTTAAAATAAGGGAACAGAATATGTTACCTGAGATTTGAAGATCCAATTAATGGAAGCAAGCGAACAAGAGCGTCAGTCTGTAAAGCAGTTTATAAAAGCATATAAGAGATATCCACAAGGTTATAAATCCATAGAAGGTATACCCTTTTAAATAAGGCAATCTTTAACAGAACAAAACTCTTATCAATACAGATTAGTTCTGCTAATGTTCATAAGGATAGTTGATCCAAACTCATCATTAGATAAAGATAATCTGATCTGCCTCTAGTTAGCTAGGATGATCCATAAAATGATAGAAAGTTGGAAACATAATATAAACAGCTGCAATGTAATTCTAAGATCAGTGGTTCAATACTAATGCTATTTGAAATTCATTACCCTATATTGCCTCCTTCCAAGCTACAAAGAAAATAGTTTAACATATAGAAACTAAGAATTACACCTGCATCTTCCTGTAAATTTCAAAAAAGAGAACACAAACCTCTCTTTGTGGGGCTTCTCCACTGAAGAAAGACACAGCAACTCCAGTCAATGAAATGGCAATTATGGCACCACCAAGTCCAACTCCAGCCCACAAAAGCCAACCCTTTTGAAGATTGAAAGGTCCCCTGAAATCTGTTACAATGTTGTTACCATTGAATGGGGAAAAAAGAAAAAACATCAATGCATAACATATTCTAATTCATCTAATTATAATCCAATTGCAAATGAAACATCTGATTAAAATGAAATTTAAATCAGCATGATGCAACAAAACAGAGATACAGCATGCTCATCAAGGCATAAACTGGTTCATATTGGTGGCAGTGAACTTAATTATGGCATGACACAAACATTGAAGAAAAAAGTTGCATGAGCACAGCGTCTATAAGTGCAACCAACCAATCAACAACTCTAAATGTATTAAAATAATAATAAAGTCTATTGAAATCCATGAGTAAGTTATTTTAATATTATTTTGAGCTCTAGATTGGTTGTGGCTGTAGACACTATACTTACAGCCTCATGTTACTATTGCTCACATTAGAAAGTTGAAACGTTTTGCCTGTGCCCTAGATATAATTGAAAGGCTCTTAAATATTAATACCATATTTGAAGAAGTCTTCAGGAAGTGGCTGGAAAGAGTTGGCAACACTGTATATGATTCCAAGTACAACAGCAGTTGTGATGCTGCCAAGACAATAATAGGAGAAAATAAGAAAGTAATCCAAAACTTTATCTACTTTGTCTTAAACACCGGAAAGAAAATTGGAATAATCATTAGGTACAGAAAGTAGAAAGGACAAAGGTGTTTCGTACTTTTATTGTTTATAGATGGATCTAGTTGACTCCATACTTCCCAACATTAGGCAACTAGTTAACAAGACAAAGGTCTAAAGTTTAAAGCTGTTGGAAATAATAATAGTTAATGCACTTATGAAATAGTATGTTCATGTATCACATGATAAAATGCATGTAGTGTTCGTAAGTATTAATGTCTAGGGAGTTGCACTCTATTAATATTAGCATAGGAAATAGTCTCCATTAAGTCTATCAAGAGCCTATATGTGTGGAAGATATGTGATATGCAGAACCTCTCTGTCCTCCCTCTCTAAATCTCCTCCTCTAAAATTCTATAAAAGTAAATGTTACAATGTAAGCATTGAGCATTCAATCATTTCACGAGGATGCAAGTTTTGAGAAGGAAAGAGAATAAGGTAGTAAATGACAGCCTAACGACTCAATGCATGTCAATCACTGCCATGAACAACATCATATCATCTTGCTATCTAAAATGTGGCTTCGCATACTCTTAATAAGAGATTGACTCGTCAAGAACAAATCAGAACCAAAAAGTGGAAGCTGTTTCACAATTTACCAGCCAACTCCCAACATTACAAAGGTAAGAATCCAAATTAATTGCATACCCCTGATCGAATAAAAGTATCTCTGCCTTGTCATCTAAACTTAGCTTATCAGGTTCGATTCCTAGATATGGTAGAGCAATTGCTTCGGTCAAACCTGTCAATACAAAACTGCCTGGGAATAAATTAATGGCCCAACACAGTCAGCAACATAGAAATCAATTATAACATGTAAATTGTAAACCAATTGACGTTATAGGTACGAAGTTTCTAGATGACATCTTCCTCAGTAGATTTGCATTATTTCAAGTTTGATATGAAATCATAACAGCCGTTTAAAACACACCCCAATCCACAAGCAAGAGAGGTCAATGAAACTGTTTGCCATTCCCAAGGCACCTCCCATCGCCTGAGAATAGGCCATCCCAATCCCGATTCCTGAAAAACATAAAAAAAACAAAAAAACAAGAACAACACAATTATACAATATCTTCTTACATATACTTTAATTAGAATGCATTAATAGTATAAAAGTTGTTTTCTTTTTCTTATAAACTACGAGTTTCCTCCACTAGAAACAATCCTGTTAGGACCACTATGGGAAGCAAGGCTCTCCCTCTGAATTATTTAACACAGTTATATATTCAAAATTTGAACTCGAAACCACTAGTTAAACTGGAATAACCCACATAAAAGTTGTTTAGCATGTCATTCAGTAGTAAATTATCATATTTAAGGTGATTTCTAAGATGATTTCTAATTAACTGACCGTGTAAACATTTTTAATATATTGTATGAAAACTAAACTCTTTCATATATTATTGTAAACAAAAACAAACACAACACACAGACCTCTAACTCATAGGAGTCACTGAAATACACTCAAATTCACTCATGCAAAGGGAATCATTTTGTCACAGTAAATTCGGTTATTGAATTAACAACAAACCCAATCACCAGATGCCCACATTAAAAATCATTTCCTTATTGTTCTTTTTCTTTATCACAAGAGATGACAAGTAAACTTGCAGCCCTAAATAATGTCCGAACTTGTAATAACTTTGTCGAAGAATACTCAATTTTATCGAACATACAATCAAGTAATACTTGATTTACAATAAAATTTATTAAATTAGGTACGAGAATCGGAATAAATATATCTATATCTGTTTTAAAATCACTAGAAACTTAATTTAGTTTTTAAAAGTTTTTTTTTTAATATTTACATAATTTTAATTCTTATTATATTTTAAATTTATTTTAAATGAAGTTTAATTAATATAATTTTGTAATTATTTTTTTATGTTGAAAGTTTATTTTTTTTATATTCTTTTACAAAACAATTAATTAACTGAAATTCCGTGAAAGTAAGTGGATTAAGAAAAATAAGTAAATAAACAAATAACAAGAAGAAAGGGTGAAGGAGGGAGTGCCTTATCCTGAAAATTGGTGTCAGATTTGTCTCGAGCGTTGAAGAAGCAAACAGAAGGAAGAGGCGTTTTAGAGCCCAAAGTGAAGTGGCGCGGGAGAAAGGGGTTTCTATGGAGAAATGCGGCGTTTTGTTTTGAGAAGGGTTTGAAGGAAGAAGAAAGGTTGTGGGAAGCGAAGAGAGCGCAAGGTGGTGATGGTGAATACAGAGAAGAAGCAAGTAGCATTGAATTTGAAAGCATGGTGTGAGGTGGAGAATTTGGAAATTGAAAGTGTAAGGTGGAGAACTTTGAATCTTAGTGCTTTTGATTTGATTATGTGTGCACTGGATAAGGCTGGTCGCATATGAGTTCAAGTCCCCTCCAGAAAATGTTGCTTTAAAATTGTATCAATCTACTTTTTTTTCTTCTTTTTATAATAATTATATAGATTTAAATATATTTTTATTTTCTTAAATTTTTGATAAATTTATTTTTATTTTTTAAATTTAAAATTATTATTTTTAATCTCTATAATTTTAAAATATCTTATTTTAATATTTATATTTAAAAATTTTATCTATAGGTGTTTCTGTTAATGAAAATATATATTAAATTTGATTGATATTACATAACAAGATAACTTGAAGGATTAAAACAAAATTTTTAAAAATTACAAAAATTAAAAACAACAAATTTAAATTTGAGAGATCAAAAATAAATTTATCTTAAATTTGAAGGACTAAAAATATATTTAAATCTAACTATATATAAATTTAGACATATTTGATATCTTTATTAAGAATAAAATAAAAATAAAAAATAAGTAATAAAAATATATTAATTTAATTGATGTTATAATTAATTCTTAAATTTTTAAGTTTTAATTTTAAATTTATAATAAAAGAGCATAACTGTTTATTAAATATTAAATATACGATGATTTTTTCATATATATTAATATAGATAGAAAAAGTTATAAATCAATCATAAATTGATTAAAGGTAACATTTTGAAAATAATTATCGTAAAAATTAATATTATAAAAATTAACAGTAAAAAAAGGTATTATGTGCTTATTAAAAAATAAGTGGACAATTAACTTGTTTTTTTTCTTATTTTGTCTTTAAAAGATACATTAATAAAAGTATGGTAGAAAAGTATAAATTTCATATAAAAAGTAAAAAAATCAATATTCTCTTTTTATAGTATATTATTATTAAAAAAATGTTATTGAAATTTTTGAGCAGAAATAGCATTACCTATTGTTATAAATTCTAACGTAGTAGGTTATTTCAGAAGGCCCAAAAGTTCAGTATGGGTGATTTAGTAGTTCAGAACGGGTCGTTCCAAATTATTGAATTAACCTATAAAACGTAGTTGAGAGCGGACCGTTCTAGAGGGAGAATGGGTCGTTCCAAACCCCAAAACGGGCCGTTCTAGAGGGAGTACGGGTCATTCTGGATGGAGAACGGGCCGTTTTGGATGAATCCCAGAACGAGTTTCCGAATGAGTCGTTCTGCATGTGATTTTTGTACTTATTGAGGGGTGCAGAACGGGCCGTTCCGAATTCGGAACAGGCCGTTACCTTCAGCTTTCTTGAAAATGTTTTTCTCCTGAGTTGTCACTCGGCCAAGGATGTACCTTTGGTTTTCCTGAAAAGGTTTCCCTCCCGAGTTGTCACTCGGCCAAGGATGTACCTTTAGTTTTCCTTAAAAGGTTTCATTCCTAAGTCGTCACTCGGCCAAGGATCTTCCTTCGATTTTCGTGAGAAAGTTTCCCTCCCGAGTCTTCACTCGGTCAAGGATGTACCTTCGATTTTCCTAAATAGGTTTCCCTCCTGAGTCATCACTCGACCAAGGATGTACCTTCGGCTTTCTTGAAAAGATTTCCCTCTCGAGTTGTCACTCGGCCAAGGATGTACATTCGGCTTTCCTTCCCTCCCAAGTCATCACTTAGCCAAGGATGTACCTTCAGCTTTCCTGAAAAGGTTTCCCTCCCGAGTCGTCACTCGGCCAAGGATGTACCTTTGGTTTTCCTGAAAAGGTTTCCCTCCCGAGTTGTCACTCGGCCAAGGATGTACCTTTAGTTTTCCTTAAAAGGTTTCATTCCTAAGTCGTCACTCGGCCAAGGATCTTCCTTCGATTTTCGTGAGAAAGTTTCCCTCCCGAGTCTTCACTCGGTCAAGGATGTACCTTCGATTTTCCTAAATAGGTTTCCCTCCTGAGTCATCACTCGACCAAGGATGTACCTTCGGCTTTCTTGAAAAGATTTCCCTCTCGAGTTGTCACTCGGCCAAGGATGTACATTCGGCTTTCCTTCCCTCCCAAGTCATCACTTAGCCAAGGATGTACCTTCAGCTTTCCTGAAAAGGTTTCCCTCCCGAGTCGTCACTCGGCCAAGGATGTACCTTTGGTTTTCTTGAAAAGGCTTATCTACTGAGTCGTCACTCAGTTCGGCGTTCGGTTACCATTAAAAGACTCTTTTGGCAGCCTAAACCCATTCAACACCCTCGGCAGCCTAAACCTGTTTGGCACCTTCGGCAGCCTAAACCTATTCGGCACTCCTTGGTAGCCTAAACCCATTTGGCACCTTCGGCAACCTGAACCTGTTTGACACCTTCGGTAGCCTAAAACCATTTAGCACCCTCGGCAGCCTAAACCTGTTCGACACCTTCGGTAACCTAAACCTGTTCGGCACCTTCGGCAGCCTAAACCCGTTTGACACTCCTTGGCAGCCTAAACCCATTCGGCACCTTCAATAGCCTGAACTCATTCGACACCCTCAGTAGCCTGAACCCGTTCGACACCCTCGGAAGCCTGAACCTGTACATGCGTGACGATGCATTAAATATTAAGTTGTATATTGTTGTTATTGTTGTTGTTGTTGTATTAAAGTTGTTTCTAAGTTGTATGAATGAGTTGGGTTTTCATGTTGAGATGTATGGTTGTTTGTGATGATGATTGATATGCATTAATATCTGTCATGAGATACATTTATTACATGATTGTTAATATGATGAAGTGTGTGGTGTTTAGCTTCATGATTGATGGATTGTATGTTATACATGAGTAGTATTGAATAGAGTATGGTGTGACTCTATGAACATGATTGATAGTTGGATGATTGTGTGGTATAGACTATTGTCTGTACTTGTATGATTGATTTTTAAACTCTAGCTTACCCTTCTATTTCCATGTGGTGGAACTGCAATGATCATACTTGGTATGGGAGCAGGTCAGGGCTAGCTTAGAGTTGAGGTGTCCGCTGCGAGATGGGGAGTTTTAATCCTCGTGTTAGAGTTATCATTTGGATAGCGGTTTTGTCTGTGTTTGACCGGCACTAGGAAATATTATTTTTGGAATGACTGTACATATATGAAGTTTTATTTTATAACCAGAAACTTAATTATTTTCATTTTTATTTGTACATGTATGTATGAGTTATCCAGCTTAATATTTCTCTTAATTTCACTAGCAGTAATGCGATTCCACTAAGTGTAGAGACCATGGAGGGTCGTTACATAAATGTTATTGTCTCACATACTACGTAATTTTCTAGGAAATTGATTAATGTATAATGGTGATGTGAAAAAACATTTTTTCCTAGTAAATTAATCATCATCATTATTTAATAATTCTTGACCATTTGATCTTCCCCCACCTTATCTTTGTCATTTCTCCTCTAGACTTGTTAAGGTTTAAGGGATAGTCCTTTTCGTTAGAGACTTTCACAGTGAATGTTCCATCTTGTGAAAAGGAAAATGTAATATAAGAGGTTCATTTTCTTCATGTGGTAGATGGTGTAACGTAGTTGGTAGACTGGAACGGGATGTTCTAAAATTGGAATGGGTCGTTCCAAACTACTAAAACAAGGGTGATTTAGTAGTATAGAATGGGTCATTTCAGACTACTAAATATGCCTATAAATCCTAGTTGAAAACGGGTCGTTCCAAACATGGTTGTTGTGAGTTAAATTCAATTCCAGAACAGGCCGTTCTGGTTTAAGAACGGGTTGTTCTGGTTTAAGAACGAGTCGTTCTAGACGTGCTAGAACGGGTCATCACTACAACAAAATTTAGTATTACTAACAATTATTTAATGGTAATAAATTAATTGCTTCTATTTTATTATTTAATAAAAATATTAATGACTATTATATAATGGTCACTAAAAATGTATTTACATCACATCAAAATTTACTATTAGCAAAAATTATTTGTTAGAAAAAACTGAAGTCCCACATCGACTAGAAATGAAATAATTAAGGAGTATATAAGTGAATGATAACTCTCACCTTACAAGTATGTTTTATAAGGTTGAGTTAGGCCTATAACTTAATATTATAAGTTGGTATTTAAGAGATAAGATAATTAAAAAAAATTAAAGAATATATACTTAGAAGATAACCTTCATCTTCTAAGTCCCACATCAATTAGAAATAAGGTAACTAAAGAGTATTTGTACTCATTTTACAAGTCCTACATCAACTAGAAATAAGATAATTAAAGAGTATTATAAATATTTTCTTAAACTTTTAGAGGCAATTTTAAATGCCAATAACAAATGACACAAAAAGTTATACACTTTTCCTGACCATTATGAGGGTCTTTATCGGCATATAGAATAATTGTCGGTAAATGTTTTAGCGATACTGCATACAATAGCTAATGTGTAAAATGCTAGTAAAAGATTTTGTAATAATTTTTATTGTCACTAAAGGTCATATTAAATGCCACTAAAAGTCCATTTTATTGTAGTGATTGTAAATTCGTTCTGGTTTCAGAACGGGCCGTTCTACGTGTGAATTTTACATATGATGAAGGAGCCTAGAACGGGCCATTCCGGATTCAAAACAGGTCGTTCTGGTCACTCTTGACCTTTATAAATAGGCGTTGAGGAGGGGAAGAACAGGGAAACTTAGAGAGAGGTTTTAGAGAGAAGGACTCTGGGCCAGGAAGCTTGCTTTTGGAAGATTGAGGTTCCCGGGTTGAGCTTCGGAAGGAAATTCCGCTTCTTCTCAACTCTTGGCAATGCTGAGCCAATTTTCAGGTTAGGGAAGCTTCATACATTATTTTCCTTGAAATGGTTGAGTTGTTGGGTGCGGATTGAGTTAAAAAGTTGGGTTTTGTTGTTTGAAAGAAAAAAAGATGATTGATTTAAATTAGCGGTTGCATGTAGTTGTTCTTGTGTTTTAGAAGTTGTTTATAACGTGGTTAAGTTGCTAAGTTGCCTGATGAAGATGAGTTGAGTAGTTGTTGACTTACGTTGTTTATATGTTGTGTATTTGGTGAAACTAAGTTATTTTTATGTTGTTTATTGTTGAATTATTAATAAGTTGAGATGTTTAAGTTGAAGTAGTTCATTGTTGTAAATTTGATATTGTGTTGACTATAGTTGCTCTAGTT